GCCTTCTGAGAAAGCTCCAGTATGCAAGTCAAGAAGCAATAGTTAGAACTGTACATGGAACAATGGACTGGTTCAAAATCAAGAAAGGAATATGTCAAGGCTGTATATTCTCACCCTGCTTTTTAAAATTATATGCAGGGTACATCATGTGAAATGCCATGCTGGATGAATCACAAGCTGGAATCAACATTTCTGGGAGAAATATCAACAACCTCATATATGCAGATAATAGCATTCTAATGGCAGAAAGTGAAGAGGAATTAAAGAATCTCTTGATGAGAGTAAAAGAGGAGAGTGAAAAAACTGGCTTAAACTCAACATTCGGAAAGCTATGATCATGACATCTGGTCCCATCACTTTATGGCAAATAGAAGGGGGGAGGGATGTAGAAGCAGTGACAGATTTTATTTTCTTGGGCTTCAAAATCATTGTGGACAGTGACTGCAGCCATGAAATTAAAAGATGTTTGCTCCTTGGAAAAAATGGTATGACAAACCTAGACAGTGTATTAAAAAGCAGAGTCATCACTTTACTGACCAAGGTCTATATAGTCAGAGCTATGATTTTTCCAGTAGTCAGGTACAGATGTAAGATTTGGACCATAAAGAAGGCTGGTAGTGGTTTAGTTGTTAAGTTGTGTCTGACTCTTGTGACCCCATGGGCTGTAGCCCGCCAGGCTCCTCTGTCCATGAGATTTCCCAGGCAAGAATACTGGAGGGGATCTTCCCAAACCAGGGATCGAACCTGGGACGCCTGCACTGCAGGCATTCTCCTGAATTTGGTGGCTCAGATGGTAAAGCGTCTGCCTGCAATGCGGAAGACCCGGGTTTGATCCCTGGGTCAGGAAGATCCCCTGGAGAAGGAAATGGCAACCCACTCCAGTACTCTTGCCTGGAAAATTCCATAGACGGAGGAGTGTGGTAGGCTACAGTCCATGGGGTTGCAGTTGGACACGACTGAGCAACTTCACTTTCTTTCTTTACCAACTGAGCCACCAGGAAAGCCTAAAGAAGGCTGAGCCCCAAAGAAATGATGCTTTCGAATTGTGTTGTTGGGGAAGACTCTTGAGAGTCTCTTGGACTGCAGGGAGATCAACCAGTCAGTCCTAAAGGAAATCAACCCTGAATGTTCATTGGAAGGACTGATGCTGAATCTGAAGCTCCAGTACTTTGGCTACCTAAGGTGAAGAGCCAACCCATTGGCAGGGACACTGATGCTGGAAAAAACTGAGGGTAGGGGGAGAAGAGGGTGACAGGATAAGATGGTTTGATGGTATTACTGACTCAATGAACATGAGTTTGGGCAATTTCTGGGAGATAATGAAAGACAGAATATCCTGGCATACTGCAGTTCATGGTGTCACAGAGTTGGACATGATTGAATGACTAGACAACAACAGTATATATACATATGTGTTCTTAACACACACACACAAACATGTGTATAAATACTGTTGTTGCAGTCACTCAGTTGTGTCCAGCTCTTGGCAACCCCATGGATTGAAGTCTGCCATGCTCTTCTGTCCATGGGATTTTCCAGGCAAGAATACTGGAGTGGGTTGCCATTTCTGTCTCAATGGCATCTTCCCAACCCAGGGATTGAATCCAGGTCTCCTGCACTGCAGGCAGATTCTTTACCATCTGAGCCACCAGGGAAGCCACAAGCACTATTGGTAGGTTCATTTTATAGATGAAAATTAAGGCATAGAAAGATTAAGCTTTTATTTATACTTTTTTGCTGTATCCCAATAAATAGAAACAAATGCCTTACATATCAGTATTGATCAGATTTACTTACTTTAAAGTTAAAGGATAGGGTAGGCAAAATATACACACACACAACAGTTTTCTTTTAAAAATATTTTCAGGTCTTTCCTTAATAAAGGGAAACCTAATTACATGTTTGTATCTTCTTGAAAATTTGAGTGTTTACACATACTAATATCCTGGAGAAGGAAACAGAAACCCATTCCAGTATTCTTGCCTGAAGAATCCCATGGACAAAGGAGCCTGGCAGGATACAGTCCGTGGGGTCACAAAAGAGTCAGCCACGACTGAGCATACACATCCATACTAATATGTATGTTTTCTGAAAAGATCCTAAAAGCAAGGCATCTAGAGAGGATGTCTTCAGGAATGCAAATGCCACACAACACAATTTTTTAATGCATTTCAAGATAAGAAGTGGTTCTCAGATTGTTCTTCACATATTAGTTGCATTAAAGTTATACTTTAAAATGGCTGAGTAGGTTGATACTCTTGTCTTCTAGAGCCCTTTGGCATTGCATAACCTTCAGGTATATTTAATAACTCATTTAATCTTCAGAATACCTATGAGGTAGATATTATTAGAAATATAGATTTTACAAGTGATTACACTAAGAAATAAGAAAGCTATTTGCCATAAGAACGAAGACAGCTATGCAGCAAAGTTACAAAGCATTTGTTACAAAAACTCAAATTGTGACACATTAAAAGTCATACAATACCTTGCCTAGAGTACTCATAATGTTTGACAATTCAAGGCCTTCAAAAATGAATCAAAGCTATCCATTGGATTTCAGGATGTGTCCTAACATTTCTTAACTGATGAGGTAGTTTGCCTAAGTTATTTGTACAATAATTTATATACAGTGTGATTTATGCTGAATACCTACTTTCTTTCCACAAAATCTGGAATCTTGATATATGCTAACCAGAGGGTGCCTAAAGGAGAGCTTCCAGTCAAAGCTTCAGCACTGAGTCTAAAATGGGCCTCCCAGGTGGACAACACTTCATACAGGTGTCACAATTCACTACTGGCAGAATGAATTGCATGACACACAGTCCATAAGGTTGCAAAGGATTGAACACAACTGAGCAACTGAGAGCACACACATGCACTATGTGACGACTCTGGGAGGCATGTGCTGGTTTCCTCTAGACGTCAGCACATGTCACTTTTCCTTATCTTGATTTTGCTTTTTATCCTTTGGCTGTAATAAATCTTAACTGCCTCCTTTACAGATAAAGATGTTTCCTGAAACTTACAATCAAAGTCCAGGACTCATACATTCAAAAATCTTTGGTAGAAACTTCACTGTATAAAAATTCTCTTTTATAACTATCTTCTATTATGAGCACAAATCATGGTCGTGAAGTCTATAGTAAGCTAATGAAGCCTCTGTTTATCTATTGACATCTTGAGGCCAAATGATTGATCTTTTTGAATTGTGGTGCTGGAAAAGACCCTTGGGAGTCCCTTGGACTGAAAGGAGATCAAACCAGTCAATCCTAGAGGAAACCAACCCTGTATATTCATTGGAAGGACTGATGCTGAAGCTGAAGCTCCAATAATTTGGCCACCCGATGTGAAGAGCTGACTCATTGGAAAAGACCCTGATGCTGGGAAAGATTGAAGGCAAAAGGAGAAGAGGGATGTAGAGGATGAGATGGTTAGATAGCATCACCAACTCAATGAACTGAATGCAAGCAAACTTTGGGAGATAGTGAAGGACAGGAGAGCCTGGTGTGCTACAGTCCATGGGGTCACAAAGAGTCAGACATGACTTAGTGACTGAGCAACAACAAGAAGAATTTTCAAAAGCATGATATTTAATCAATCCACATTATAGCATTTATGGGGAGATAAGAAATAACATTTATAGAGTACACCTCAAGGTTAGGGGAACTCCATAAACTTCCTCAATATAAGATTCTTCAAAATTTCTCTTTAGGCCATATTTAGACCTCCTAAACTCATGTTTTTTCTCTTTCCTCGAATACACAACATGTACCAAATGTATAACCATATATTCTTTGCTTATCATCTCTATGTGTTAGTGGCCTCATCTGTATCAGGATAATAATAGAATCTATTTGATAAGGCTATAATGAGGATTGAATAAGTTAATACAGGTAAAGACCTTAGAAGAGTGTCTGAGTTATAAATCCTATATATGGGTTTATTTAGAAACTGCTCTATATAAACATCTTAGTCTTTCCATAAAGTTCCATAGCTCTCTGCAATCCACTACATTTTTTTGCACAGATTTCCATTACCTGCACTGCTTCCAGGTGCCCCTCCAACTTTTAACCTCCAGTCACCACACCCTCCCCCTTTTTACAAGCATGACATTGTTAGTCTCTTTTGGCTCTCCATTTGTACTAGCAGACAAACAGGTTCTTCCACAAAAGGTCCTCTGCAGGACCCACACTCCTTAGAAAGAAAAAAAAAGAATGGTAAGTGACAGTTTTCTCTCCTCAGAAAGGATTAAAACAAATTGTTTTGATAAAAAGAACACGAAAATCAAATGCCATTTCAAGGTTTAGAAAAAGAGTAGCAACAGTTATTCTGGGACTGTGGTCACAGGACCTGAAGGGAGCTTTCTGGAATGAGAGCTGCTAAAAGTATTGAGAGATGGAATCAAATATGTGAAAAATTGAAAAAGAAAAAGAAAGAAAACTAGTGGAACAAAAGTATGTAATAATACAGGTATTTTAGACTTTAGTGTCAAATAAATTCAGGTTGGAATCTTAATTAATTATATCTACACAAAGATAAATACATTTTATATGAAGACATGCTCTGAATATCAATTGAGATATGTGTCAAGTGCATAGTATTCTGGAAATCAACAAGATTTATTTTTACTTGTACTTTTAACATAAATTTTAAATGTTCATTAACTTGTTTTACTGTATTTATTTTTTCACTTTCACTTAGAGCCAGTCCTTTTCTTAAATTCAAACACAAAATGTTAAACATAAAGCAATATAAGGGCTATCAGTCTCTTTTGGTTCTTTCGGTATTTGGATATAACAAATACCTGGCAACGACACAGAAATCACTGAAGTCTTGGATGTTTTTCCTTAAATCAGCATGTGAACTGAGTAGCCTGCCAACTTCTATGCCTAATAGAAATAAGTCAGAGCTCTGACCCTCCAGCAGCAAAAGAAAACAAGAGAAACGAGTCAGAGTTCTAGCCCTCCAGCAATAGAATTAAACAGAAGACAGCTCACCTGTATTGTCATTTCACTGATGATTGTGGCCATGTCTTTGATTCTGTCACCGTCACTGTGTATCTGAGAATCATTCAGTGCTGTACTCAGTACAATCCCACTGTGAGACCACCTTCCAGATTGAGGCATAGAGAGCATGAAATCATTCATACACTCATATTAAAAGGCTCCAAGACAAAGGTGTAGATGAAACAGAAACTTCTTTGAGGTTGAGACTGATAATACTTACTGCCTACTCTGCTTCATTGTCACACAGCAAAACACCATTTCAAGCCTACTTTGTTTCTAGGGGAGACATTGTAGCCATATTCTGTCCAATAGAATGTGAGTACAAGTAATGTACACTGTTTCTAGTCTGGCCATGAATCATTCCACATAACCATTTTCTCTCTCCATCTCCTAAGTATACAGTTGCCAGCCCAGTTAAATTTCTGAGGTAGTGGAGTCACAGGATGGAAGAAACTCAAATACTGCATCTTGAAACAGAGACATCCAGAAAATTGTCTTGACAAGGAACATCCTCATGGGTCTTGTATGAGAAATAGACTTTTAAAATAAGATTATGAGATTCATAGGTTGATTTTTATAGCAGCTGGCTTTACTTATTCTAATACATGCCCCTATGATTCAAAAGAAGTTTAGAGAGTGAGATAGTCTATCTTTACTCATTTATCACACATTGTCATAGAGAACTAAATTAGGACCTTGATAATTACTATTCATTTTAAAATCAAAGAACATGTGCCATGGTTTACTAAGTAGCAAGTCTGAGACTCTCCAGTAGGTGTAGATAGCACAGAAATTTTTCAGGCCCTGAGAACATGGAGAGACCTTTAACTATATTATATGGGGTAGTGAAGCTTTATAAGCCATGTTTCATAATGACTGATAGCTACATCTGAACATCTGTGAAGTGTTCCCAGTAAAGACTGGAAATAGGGCTGGTTTTAATGTCAGACATACCTGGGTGAGAATCCTAGGTTTACTACTTACTAGGCTTAATTACTGAAACTCCTTTATTTCCTCATCTATTGAAGGGAGATTTTAATGTTTACTTTGCAAGGTCTTTAGGAAACAACAAATGTGAAGAGCCTGGCCCACAGGTTAATATCCATAAAGGTCATCAATGAGATAGTCGGTGCATGTGAGACACATGAGATCCTTGATAATAAAGACCTTGTCATCATCATCTTTGTGTTCCCAATATATCCTGCACAGCATCTAGTAATTGGTTAGTGTTATTACTGATAAATGCTTATGGAGAAGATCTGAATCAGGCCTTAGCCTCTTCCATGTAAAAACTGAAGAGTACAACTTGGAGATTTTTTGTAACTCCAATACCTTGTATCTATTTGGAAATTAGTTATATAGGGTTGCAAAGAGTCCAACACAGCTGAAAAGACTTAGCACTCATGCATGCATGCATATGGTTATATTAACATCATTCTCCTTTGCACAGAAAATTAAATGTATTGCATTGTAACTATTGTCATGATGGGTTTTTTTTTATGCATGTCTTTGAACTGCATGGGTCAGATATGGTTCCTCACTCTCCGCTAGGTTAGGTGGTGCAAACATAGAATCATTTTATACACAACAGATTTGGCATCAGAGTAAAAGTATTTCCTATGATGAACAACATTTAATAATTATGAAGTGTCACTTTTAAATAAAAATATTTGCATGTTTTCTTGGAAATGCCTCGCATGATCTTTGCTAAATTTCATCATGCAGTTTTATTTCAATGAGCATTTTTTCCAGAACAAACATAAAACCACACAATGAAGTATTAACAACAAAAAGAATGAAAGATCTATGTGTGCAATAAGATGGATGAACCTTGAATGTATATTACTAAGTAAAAGAAGGGAGGCTGAAAATTTACAGACTATATAATTCCATGTATATGACTTTCACCAGAAGACAGAACTCTGGTGATGAAGAGTTTGGAAGCTGTCCCAGTTTAGAGTGGGTAGACAGTGTGACAGTGATGTGATAGCATAAGACAGTGTTTTAGGAGTAGTATAGCTGTTTCATACCCTGATTGTGGTGGCAGCAAAATAAATCTATACATACATCAAAATTTGTAAATTTTATTCTAACATAAATCTATTTTACTGTATAAAACTTTATAAAAGGAAAAAGCCTGTGAAATGCCACTAAAGCTATACAGTAGGAGACATAGCAGTAAACGTATTTGTTAGAAATAGTCCCAATATAATGACCTCAGCTTATATCTTAAGAAACTAGGAAAAGAAAAGCAAACTAAACCCAAAGTAGGCACAGAAAATAAAATAATAATGATCACAGCTTAATGTAGTATAAAGCAGAAAACAATAGAGAAAAGTCAAAACCAAAAGTTCTTTGAGAAGTCAATAAAATTAATAAGCTTCTATTCAGATGATCAAAAATAAGACATGAGACACACATAATCAATGTCAGCAATGAGAGGGATGGAATTACTATGCAGTCCAGAGATACTTAAAAGATAAGGAAATATTATGAGTTTCATGCCAATAAACTACATAACTTAGATTTAATGGACAAATTCTTTGGAAGGTGCCAACTGGCACATCTCAAGAAGAAATAGATAATCTATATAGTCTTATAGCTAATGAAGAAATTGAATTAATAGTTTAAAACCATTCCAAAATGAAAACTATAGTCGTGACTTCACCACTGAATTACAACAAATATTAAATATCAATTCTATGAATTCTTCCAGAAAATTGAAGAAAGACTACTTACCAACTCATTCTAACACTAGATTAAATAATAATTTTTTGGATATACCATCAAAGGAATTATTGATAAAAGGAAAAAGTGGTAAGTCAGACTGTGTCAAAATTATTATTATTTTTTTTTAGAGAACATTAAGAGAGTGAAAACACAAGCCACAGGATCAGATGAAATATTTGCAAATCATACATCATATAAGGCCTTTGTGTCCAGAATATATACAAAACACCTAAAACTCAATACTTTTGAAATTATTGCCCTGGAGGGCATGGCAACCCACTACAGTATTCTTGCCTAGAGAATCCCATAAACAGAGGAGCCTGGCAAACTACAGTCCATAGGGTCACAAATAGTCAGACATGATTGAAGCAACTGAGCATGCACACAAGCAGTCTCCCTTCAGAGCCCATGCCTTTCACAACTGTACACTATGGCTTCCTCCTAGATGATCAGGAGAGGAGACACTGGAAACCTGTTTTAAAGGCTAAAGTTTTGTAGATGAGGTAGGGAGAAAAAGAGACCTATGGAAGATGATGTAGTAAGCAAAGTGTGTAGATATCCTGTCCAGCACTCCCATTTTCTCCTCTACAGGGCCATCACTTTGCCTGTTTCCTCTGGTATTTCTCTTGGCAGGACAGCATACCAGCAATTAGTCACAGCTAAACTAAAAAGTAGAAGAATTGTACAGAAAGCATGTGCTTTCATGTGGAATGAGCATGCAGTTTTTCCACACAGAATAGGATGTACATCAAAGTTTAAAATATAATTCTATGTAGCCTGCAAAATGATTCTATAAGTGGATTTTATCATGGGAATATTTTTCAGAAAAAGTTGTGGAAGACTGAAATGGGCTTCCGGAATTTTGTTTTTCTCTTTTATTCATCAGCATTGTTGATTGTGATCCCTTAGTACATACCACCCAGTAGGAGAAAAAATTGAAACATAAAACTTCAAAATTGTCACAAAACCTGTGGGAGAAAGGTTAGAAAACTCTCAGGAGTTCTTTGAAAAGAACTCTTAGTTTCTCTAGGACAGTTTCAATACCTAACTTTTGGTTTCAAGCTCAGACTCCCCTTCAAATCTTCTTCCTCTCTAGGGTTATCAGCTTCAGTTGTTTTGTTATCTCACACCCTGGCTACAGAATTCTCATTCACTTATCAGCAGTCCCCTCAGCTAATCAGAGTTGCTTGAGTTTAACATCTACCATGTGACATGGAGTTCATATAACCTAAAGACAGTGAGCCTTTGTGCATGCAGAAACACATTTTTGTGTAAATATAAACAAAAAGGCACGAGAAAAAACTAAAGAAAATTATTAACAGCAGTTAGCTCTGGGCAGGTTGGTGAAACCACATGAAGTCCATCTGTTTAGGGAGCACAGATGCTCAAAGTTCATGACAAAAAAAGTAGCCTCTCAAAAACCTAGAATGTCAAAGCCTGCCTTTGGCACATAATTGTGCACTTAAGTGACCACAAAGAGTTCTGTTTAGAAGGGAAGTTGAAAACCCGGCTTGGGTGGAAATTGGAATGTGTAAACAGAAACACCTCTGAGAAGGAAAACTGGATGCAGTGGATAGAGGTTAGTGTGTAATTGTAACCTGGTGAAAGTGGGAGAGGCACAGAACACTTCAGAACCTGGTACAGCCTCTATTTTTCCCCATGACTTTCCAGTTAACTCTCTTCTCTTATTGGCATGATTGTTTGTGTGTTTGTTTCTGGAGGGCAGGATGTCTGAAAGGGTTGGATATGGCTGCTATGGGCTGAAAGTGTGTGTTTTACAAAAATTATTATGTTTAAGTCCTACCTTTAATGTGACTGTATTTTGAGATGGAGCCTCTAAAGAAGTAATTAAAATCAAATGAGGTCATAAGGATAGGACCCTCATCCCATAGGATTATCATCCTTGTAACAGAGATCTCTGTCTCTTCAAATATGTCACATGAAAAACAGAGAGAATGCAGAAATCCGCAGAAAGCCTTCACCAGAAATTGACCCTACTGGACCTTGATCTAGAACTTCTAGTCTCCAGAAATGTGAGAAAATAAATTTCTGTTATTTCAGCCTCTCAGTCTATGGTATTTTATTATGGTAGTGCCAGAAGACTAAGACAATGGGGATTGAGAAGTGATTTATGAGAAAAAGAGTTATGATTTAGAAATGTCTCATATTTGCAGAGTGAAAAAATAATTTTTGCTATTGGAAACAAAGAAGCTTTACTCACTTCAGTACAGATAACAAAATAATGCTGCCTTACTAAAATACAAAAGTCACTTAACTTTTTCCAAGTTTTTAAAGCAAATCCTGAGAGATTACTGTTTCAGTACTAAAAAAAAAATTGAGGCTCTTTAAATATAAAAAGACTTTCAAATATATTTTACTCCTTACTTATTTTTTAATGTTTTACAGTCCTTTCATAACATTGTGAGTTCTCATTTTTTGCCTAAGTTCTAAACATTAGACTTGCTCATCCCTATATTA